TGCATAATATTGTGTAGAAACAGATAATCAGATAAAGAAGCAGAACCCCCTTTTCGTCTCAATTTCAACTTCATTTGAGGGTTCACGTATCAATAAGATGTTATGTAACATTCCAAGCCATAGTATTAGTAGAAGCTTCCAACATTCCAATAAGATGTAGACTCACCAAATTTCCCCATTAGCTATAGTAAATAATGCAATTACAAACCCCATACATCAATAAAGAATAATTAAACCCTAACAAGTAAAGGTCGGAAGAAAAATGATTGGGCATACCTTCCCTATTTGGTTAGGCATGACCATCCGAATACACATTATAACAAAGAGCACAACCAGAAAAGTTTCATATTTGATGAATTCTGATTCCCAACATGTATACAGGGGCCTGGGACGGAGCCACCTGGGGTCTAGTAACTGCCCCCACTGGATTTTGATCCTGGGTATTTCACGTATTACACTAGAGGGGCAGCCAGTTTTCAAGGGAAGGAGAAAACAGTAAACAGCCGCATCAAAATTTCAAGAGAGGTGTTGTCGAAAAAATACTGTTGCTACAGGAAGATTACCATCAAGAATCAACAATTTGGGAAAAATAAACAAACTATAAGCAGTTGAGTTGAAATTAAGTAATTCACAACAATCAGATCGAATATTTCAATATATAAAGCCCCTTACACCTAATAAAATCCGATACTACCTTCCAAGTTTGGTGATGAAGAAGTTTAGAAATCACTGCAGCACGAGATAAATTGGTGCAAAGGGGTGATGAATATGTCTCCCTTTTTGCCTTCCCCTCGCAAAATTGTTCCCAAATTTGTGCAATACTAATACCAAGGAAGAAACCGCTTCTTCCCTTTGCTCTATGAAGACTTAAAACAGGCTGGGTTGTAGTTGGATATGCACGCCTTTTAATTGGGCTTTACAAAAAAATTCCGAGTCCCCACAATGTAGGAAAATATCATAGGATGGGCTCTTATCAAATTGTTATCCATTTTTCAGATGGGCCTCAACGAGGTTAGTGACAAAAAAAAAAAGGGAAAAATTCATAAACAAGGTGTTTAGTTTACACCAATTCAAAAATCATGTTNTGGTTAACAACCGACCTTTTTATATGTCAAAACATAAAAAATTTAAAAACCAATAAAATAAGGGAAAAATTCATAAATAAGGTGTATACTTTACACCAATTCAAAAATCAGGTTTATAGTTTGAAAATTCAAAAATCAGATTTTTTTTTTTTTAATTCTAATATAATATAATATAATAAACCCACCCCACATGCACCACCTCTACCGTTTCGGGGACTATTCCGGAGACCCTTTTTCTCCGACGACCATTCCGGTGACTACTCCGATTTCGACGACCATTCCGACGACTATTCTGTCAATCATTCGGTCACAAATTTACAATTTAAAGTCACAATTCAAAAATTTTATAGGTCACATTCAATTCGTTGGTCACAGATCTCAAAATTAGTTGATCACAGATCAAAATTTATAGGTCACACAGTCACCGATTTCCAAACTAATTGGTTACAGATTTTTTACGGTCACAGATTATATAATTTTTAGGTCACAGATAAAAAAAGGTTAATTTCATTGGTCACATATTTTCAAATTTGTTGGTCACGGATTATTTTTCAGTCACATATTGTCAAATTTTTAGGTCACAGTT